ATTAATTTTATAAATATATAATAATAATTTTATAAATAATTATTTTAAAATATATTACTGACTCATTTTAAATGTTCATATCATATTATATTAAATATATACAAATAAATGTTTTTATATAATACACAAATATTGTATGTTGGTTATGAATTTTAAATTTTGTGTTAATTTGAGTCCTGCATAGTATTTTAGTAATAGCAACTCCATCTAATGTAGCATAGCAGAATCCTACTTTTATGATTGGTATGTATTTTGTATTATGATTATGTGAGATGCTGCAACATATTATAGCATATATTTTTGTTGGCCATCTCGGGGTGTTATATTGTATAATTCAAATCATATTTTTGCAATGTAGCTTCAATTCATGTCATGTGAGAGTATGGAAAATATGCGACTGTTTGCCTAATAGCAGTTTTTCAAAAACCAATTAAGTTTGTTCTACTAGATGGTAGACTGGTCATTTTTAAACCTTGTCAAAATTTCCCTCACCATTGAATATCTTTGGAAGATTAAGGTTTAATTTACAATGTAATTAATTGAGATTTCAATCCTGGAAATACAGTTTGAATTATATTACCATGGCAGAACAGTCTACAAAAAATTACATTTTAATTTAACTTTTCATAATCATGTTTAAAAATTTAACAGTTTAAAAAGCAGTTTTCGAATGTCAGGTTCCATCCCTCACCAATTGACCAATCTAGGAAAATCTCCTCATGAAAATTGAGTGAAGACTAGGCACCTAGCTTAATTATTGATATTTTTCAGTAATACAGAAGTTTTGGAATCCAATGGAAATATGAGGCTTACAATACAGGAGTACTTAAGAAAGTAGTATCCAGTTATTTGTAGGGTGTGGTTTTGAAAGTCTTCTGTCACTCTTGGGTACCAAAACATCAATATATATACCAAAAGTAATTAAGACTAGGTTATCTCGGCTGGAACACAGATTCCTGCCAAGGTGGTACCTTTCTACCTTGGCCATCCACCGATTGCAAAGCGGGATCTGCTGTTTATTTCAAAAAACTTTTGATTGTTTTGTTAGAACTGGTTATGTCAGCATGGCACTATATATTTAATACATTAATCATTTTAAGTTGAATTTAAAATGCCAATAAATGTTATAAAAACATTTTATAGTTTGTCAAAAAAATTATTTAATTAAGGTCACAAAGTACAAAATTTAATCAATTTTGAACTTGACAGTTAAAAACAAAACTTAATTTTAATTGGTGTTTTTATAATAAGTAAGTTAAGCATTAGAATTAATCTTCCAGATATTTGTAATGAGAATTTATGAATTCTCATTGGATCTGCTAAATTGGAATTACAGAAACAATCTTCACACTATAGTTTTGAAGTAAGAACGTGTCCTTTATTTATTAAATCTTAGTTTGAATCCTACATATTTTATCAAATATTCAACCAACACTTCACATATATTGTGTAATAGGTGCTTATTATAAATATTTTCATGTAATTAACCAATGTTAAGTTAAATTTACATGCTTTTTCATTTTGAGTCTCAATTAAAATCTTGTATTATTGCTTGATGGTATTTTTGGACTATGATCTATTTTATAATCCTTGTAAACTGCAAATGAGAAAATTAATGAAGAGAGTAAGCAAAATGTTTTGACTCCATCTTTACTGTACGAATGTTAATAAATATCTAAATTTCTCATGATTTAATTACTTTTTATTGTTATTTTTAAGATAATTTTCAGTTTTGGAATGATTTTGTCAGACAGTAAATGTAAAAGATGTAAAGAGATGATTTTTTTAAAAATCAAATGTAAAACCGTGTAAAATTTAAATAAGTATGTGCTTATAGATATTCATTTGCATAATTAATAGTAAGTTGCCGTTAACTTGACATATGCTAAAAGTATTTATCTATTTTAGGAGGAACAGAAGAAAAATCCTAATGTCTTTGATCTCTTTAGGACATCTAATTTACGAAAACATACAATTTTTATATACTTCTGTTAGTAAGTATACAAGAAATAATTTTCTAGGATTTATGTAAATCTATAAACTAAATTTTTAACATTTTTTGGTTTGCACTTCCAAATTTTGTTTCCACACAATGAGAATTTTAAAAATTCTCATTGTGTTGACCAGGTTGGAATCTGCAGAATCAATTTGGTTTATTCATATTTTCTACAAAAAATTTACAAAGCCGAAAAGTGTTAAATATTTATTTTGTATACGATAGCTACTGACATATTTATTTTCTTTTTAGCTTCTCGGTTGCATTTGTATTTTATGGTCTTTCGTTGGGACAGACTAATTTGGGTGGAAATCCCTTCTTGAATTTTTTTATTGGTTCATCTGTAGAATTTCCAGCTTATGTTATCTGTATGTTCTTGATCAAGTATGTGTATCGAAGGACTTCCCTTCTTGGATTTTACGTTATCGGTGGAGTGTCCTGCTTTTTTATGATTGCAAACACCGATGGTATGTATATATCTCTATATAAAAGTCAAAATATATATGTTTGTATGTATGTTAGGTAGAGAGTTCTATACCATTCAACGTATGGGCAACAAATTTGGCACAAGTATTCTTTGACACCCTAAAAAAATACTGTGGTAGTCTCACGCCCATCCTCTCTTAACTAAGTCCGAACAAATTTTTTTTTGCAGTTTCATTATTGTTAATACTTGGGTCAATAAGTGCACATTTTAGTTACTAAGACCATTGTTTTCGTTGCCTCTCTCAATCCCTCATACCCTTAAAAGCCCAAGCAATTTCAAGTGCATACAGCCAGTATACATACAAATATGCATATTGAATTAATTTTCTTTGACAACAGTTTTCAGTAAGTATTTAGTAAAATTCAAGAGAGGTTTTGATCGTTTGTACCTTCCAGAATTGCTTTGGTTGAAAATAACTGCTGCAATGCTCGGAAAACTGTGCATCAGTGGAGCCTTTATGATACTGGCCACCTTTGCAGCTGAAATATTTCCCACGGTGGTGCGCACAGTGGGAGTGGGAAGCAGTCTGATGATGGGACGAATAGGAGCGGCAGTTGCACCCTTTGTCAAAGAATTGGTGAGTGCCATTTTTATTTCAAATGCAATGGCCATAACGTACTTTGTTATAATGGATATCTATGCAGGGTGAAGCAACGCATAGTTATGTTCCACCCATAGTATATGGAATATTGTCACTCCTAGCAGGAGGATTCATTATGCTACTTCCCGAAACCTTCAACCGGCAACTCCCAGACACCATAGGAGATGCAGAGAATTATAAAAAGTGATTATTTACTATTATTATTTGGTTTATTAGAATTATTATTATTTTAAATCTAAAAGTATAAGAGGAGAGTTTCTAAAGAAAATTATTTTTAATTGATTCAGCCATCGGTTACTAAAATGATCAAAATTTAGAGTAACTTCCATAAAGGTAAGGTTATAAAGTTTTGGGTTAAGAATGGTTAAGGAAAAACCATAAATGCTCTTAAAGATTTGGAGAAAATACTTCCAACTTGATTATACCATTTCATACAAAAGTTGGCCAAAATAAAATTTTGAATGGAAGTTATTTTTGAACATTGGTGGATGCTGACGATATGTTTTGAATATTCGTCAACGTCTGGCAAAAGTTTATTGCTTTTTACTTGTTACACAGAGAAATTGTCATACATCACATTTTAAGGCTATAAATTAATTGTCGCGCAATCGAAACAGGTGTGATGAACTTCCGTCTTGTAAGTATTTTAATAATTAGAATTAATAATTTTAGAAGAGGTCTGGAAGAAAAGATCAACCCAGGAGGGTTTGGACCTGCAACTCTTACAAGTGGGCAGGTATGTTATACTGAGTTGTTTTTCCTTTCTAGATGCATACTTATACGATCCTAAGTTTTTAAAACTATTCTGGCTGTCTGTGGTACTTAGTAAGCTGTCAGGTAATAAAGTAATTTATGGCCTTAAAATGGAAACTGGTGATATTTGATAATTTCTTTGGCTTAAAACTATTATTGTATGTTATTATTGAATGCAATAATATATAATAATAATAATAATAATAATTTATTATTATTTAAAACTGTCTGGGAAGGTTAAAGTCTACCATTTTATGAGGATGTATTGGAAAGTTTTTTTTTTGACATGACACGAAAGAAACATATAATAGGCAGGGGCGAAACCTGATCAAAATTTTTGGGCATGCTGAAAGTTATAATAATAATAATAGGCCTATCTCTAGCACTAAACAATAGGCAGAAACATTTGGTGTAAATAAAAAAATTATGAACTATTATAAAGCCCATTATATCTACACATGAAATATATGAAATATATTATAATGAAAAAGTATTAAAAATTTATGATAATAATTCAAATATTGTGGGCCCTTGACACTGGGGCCCAGGACTTAAGCCCTATTAATCTCTATGTAGATCTGTCCCTGTACACAACACATGTATGTTGACTGGGTACCAAAAGTTTTTGATACAATCCTGCCATGTTAAATGCTTCTAATGATGTCATGCGTGCGCACTTGTTTTGCTGCAGCAAACCTCTACATGAACAAGCAATCGAGTTCCCGCAAGCATGGCAGTGACTGAAAATGGCTAGCTGCTAGTTGCCAATGTAAAAGCAAACACAAATGATAAAAGAGTTTACACATTAGAATAAATTATTATTGGCATATTTGTTCTCGTATAAAAAGTATATTTACAGTCAAAACTTTCTCTTATGCATGCAGTGTATGCTAAGCAAGTCCAGAGAATTCACTCCTGATAATAGGCTATTTTTCTACTTATGATTTGTGCCACCACTTCATAAATTTTAAATACAGTCTTCCAAAAATGTGGTTTCTTGTGAGCAAAGCCAATGCGGCACCTCCTGATGAAGAGTGCCAAAAAGACTAATCAGAGGGTCGTAAAACGGGTGATCCAAAATCCACCATCCGAAAAATTCCAGTTTTTCAGACACAGTTGCAACCATGTGCGGATGGACATCATGGAGGAGCCGAAAAATGCCACATTCTTTTGGCCTGGTCCTCTTTTTTTCAGATAGCTTGACGCAAATGAGTGAGGGTTTCACGATACGAGTTCTCGTTGATTGTCTCACCCCATCAACAGAACCATGCATTTACCAACTAAGGGAAGTGTCTCAGAAAAAACAGGTCAAAATTTTCCAATACACCCTCATATCACTCTTATCTTCATCATAATTTAATATTTCAAAGCTACAGTAATTGAAAATAATGACCAAATTACAATACATGAAGACAGTTCTAAGTATTTAATAAATTATTCCTTGTTTGTCTTTGATCTTGCACGTTATTTCTCCTCTTTAATCGTACTAACAGGTCATGCAAAATAGTGTAGGTTGGAATTATTTGTCACTGCTTGCAGCATTTTGGGAATTTAACGCTTTTACTTATTACTTTGCAGAAATATCGAGAAAGAAAATGACGATTTCTACGAGATAAAACAGATGACAGTCGATAAATAGCGCCAAGTCCATTGTTTCGAGGTTTTCCCATATTTATCTCAAAGAAAGAATTTATTTTTTCAATGTAATTCAAAGACAGTTAACATTTTATAAATCCAATATAATATGCAAACCACGCGACAAACACTTAAAAAAGAAATAAAATAAAACTCAGTTTCGAACGGTGGTTCTTAAACTATATTTGACAACCGGGGCAGTAATATAATGCCAATACACAAATACAAATTCAGACATTCCTTGCAAAATACTATCTCGAACTGGTGACACTAAACTTGAATTACTGTGTATTTGGAGTTTACACACTTAGAATGCCAATTTATGTTCGAAATTTGGGCGGAGGCTGTAGTGTTAGCATGGTGTATGGTAAATTGTAGTGAAGACAGTGCCTACTTCTCTCTCCTCTTAAATTAATAATTGGACAAACTGTCTAATTTAAATATTATAAAATGTCATTTTAATTTAGAAGGTCACCATTTAATGTTGGGAGTTTAAGAACCACTGGACGTGACATGTGGATGGAAACTTTATAGGGTATTTTTAACAACTGTTTACATTTAACAGAACGGTATTTTTTTATTAATTGTATAATAATAATTTCTTTGTGTTGTATTAATACGGCATGACGTAGAAATCTAAAATCTTTTGTCTTGAGCATTTCGATTAGGAATTCGATCATCGGTGTATGGAATTTTTTTCTTTTTGTACATATATAAATATATTTTAAATTACTTATACAGTATTAATGTACATTATAAGAACATTTTGTATGTATAGGTACGATGTAAATCGGATGGTATTTTAAATATTAGCCAACCCCCAACGTCTTTCTCGGTCAATCCGTGTGTATTCTTTGTCACAGTTTTGACTCTAAATAATTCTGCCCACCCGATACCAGAATTGTGGTAAGGTCGAGTTAATGGTGTGATTCTAAATCTCCACTTGATCCTCTTTCAGTCCATTCCATTTGCACTTTTGAGGACCTAGAAATTTAGAATCACCACAAATCAAAATTATGTTAAGATTTCTTGACCTGCAATCTCCAGATTGTGTGTGCAATATAAATTTAAAGGTGGCCTTTAACTTCTCCTTCAATATGAAGGAGAATTTAAAGGCTGTTTGTTTCCATTTTGTATGCATTTTTATTAAAGGGTGCTATTTTGGCATTTCTGACTTAAACGCAGTCTTTTTCCAAAAACAAATGTGGGAAATGTCTAATATAAAAACAATATTGAACAAGTATAAAATATTTGAAAGTATTTTTAAATTGCTCTACTTATTTAGATTATAACTTGTAAAGAGAGAATTTAAGAACTTGGAGGGGGGGTAATTGATAACTTTTGGTAGATTTAAAGTCAGGCAGCAAGTTATTTTTAAGACAAATTAAACTGCTTTTCTAAGAACTCAACTAAAAACTCAAGTAAGCTGTTGCTGGAGGGTGAGAAGTAAGTTTGTTCTGAATCAAATTTACATTTGGGAGAGGCATCTTAAGAAATGGGCCATGAAAAATCATGTTTTTTTCCTTGAGCTTTGTATCAAAAAAGAATTTTTAAAAGGGAGGAAATTCATTTTTGTGAGAACACTGCAACGAATGCACACGGACAGACCCTACAAAACGGAGCCTATGCAAAGTAACATATTTTTTAAATAATAGTTATTATTATTATTGTAATATATTGCACACTTTTTAATTTTAAAAATTACTGTATAGAATAAGAAAACTGTTAAAAATTTTTGACTCTCTCGAAAGTTGTATAACTTATATTATTATTAACTTCTTTTATGGAATTTTTCATACAATGATATCTTGTAGATGCACTGTTACTGAATAGTTTACTGACAATGGAAGTTAAGAAAGCAAGAATAAATAGTTTTGGAATTTACTTTTTGAATTTTAAAAATGAAGTGTTTTATTGAAAAGATAAATTTTGTCTTTATAGTCACCGAAATTTTAATTCTATGGATTCTTCGATAATCTGCAAAAAAGAGGTAAGAATTTGCCTGGCTCTATTCTATTTGGGGAAAAGTAGGGTAATGCCATGTTCCTAAGAACTAAAATAATGCACTCAAATTTAAACAAACATCAAAACTTTATTACTAAAATATAAGTTCAAAGTGTTCTTTACAATTTGGTTTTATTTCCTTTACATACAAATTATTTTAAAAATTTTACTAACCGATTTCCAATGATATCCATTGAGCTGAAATACCCAACCATGTCAGATATTACTGCTTGATGGTTGGGCTTGGGCATTGGCACTTGTAATTTCACTTAAAGGTTTACATGCAACAATAGTCACATTTATCATTTGGTGTTTCTACATCTCTGCAGTCTTTGCATGACCAGTTTTTGCATTTTTGTCTGTGTCATCTTAGATTTTCACCTTCTAACACCTCTAGTTTGTGATTTTCTGGAGTTGCTGTTAGAATTTGTGAATTTTTTATTATGTTTACTCAATTTTTTTGCCATTTAGTATTTTTTTTTTTATTAATCAGGTACAAGTGACATGTACAGTACATATCCAGTACTGCCTAGCACAACTGGGTGGCAAACTACATACAGTCATTGTTGTACAAAGAGATTTTAAATGCACATAATAGTAAATGAATGGTATGGGTGAGAGTGGACTCTGTCACTACTCACAACACGTATTCTATTAATTTCAAGATTTATTTATATATTTTTATCACAGTCGTTGTGTTACTTATGCTTGTATTTTATTCAGTGATGAAATAAGATGATGTTAAAGTAATAACTACATATGTTGTCCCAGTACTCACTTATTCTTTTGGAGTTATACATTGGACTCACACAGATCTTGAACAACTCCAAATGAAAACAAGAACAACACTTACTAAGCAAAACATCATCATCCTAAATCTGAACCCTTCCATGTAAAGATGGCAGATGTGGCCTGATCGACATAGTTAACTTCCACTACAAACAAATACAGACATTGTGAGAGTTTTTCTACAAAAAAACAAGAAACATCGCAGTTACATAAAGCAGACTGAAATAATACACCATTAAATTTACATTCACAATATATGGACACGACACAATATATGGACACCATTAATTAATTAATTAAGCAATCGTGGGTACAAAAGGCATTCCATGGCAGACATCTCTAATAAGGCATCTATGGAGGAAGGATAGGGTGCTTATTGTAACTGTTCTCCTCTCCTCTACAAGTGTCATACCACACACACTACAGAAAAGCCTGGGAACATTAAAATTGAATAGAAACACATACATCACACTACAGAAGGCCACTATATTGAATACTTGTCATATTGTTAGAAAATTCCTGAATACAGACACACACTGACACACTTATTTAATTTTTGTCTTGTTTTGAAGTTACTATGCCTTGACTCTGGTCCAACATAGTGTACAGCCATTGGTGTCAACTGAGTGTAACTCACAAAACTCAACATAATAATAATAATAATAATAATAGGTTTATGACATTACGAAATTCTATTAATAGTATCATATGTTTTTGAGGGGAATAACATTTTGGTGTGCTGTGTTGAGTCATAGGTGTGCTGTGAGTAGAAAAAAAGTTGCGGAACACTGCTCTAGAATGTTGAGATTAGGGATGTTGATTTCAAAAGATATGTACATATGGTCACTTAGTGTAGTGTCATCTTCAACCTTTCAGTTGTGTATGTATTTGTAAATGTTAGAGGAGCAGGCCGAGATGTCTAGCCATCTTTTTCCTCTGCTTGATTCAAAAGTTGGAGGTGAATAACAGTTGTTCAAGATTAAGATATTTTTTAGAACTGTTTGAATGTTCCCCCTCTTTTGTTGAGTTTGTCACCTCACCAAGTTGGGGAGTGCGAGTTAATATCCCCAGCAAGAATAATGTTTTTGTTAGGGATAATGTTAATTATCTTATTGATTTCTTCTAATATATCTTGAAGATAAATTCCTTCAGGACAATATATGTTTAATTATGAGCAGTTTAGTATTGTGTCCATAAATTACACAGCAGGTAATGTATTGGTTGCTATGATTTTCGTGGAATAAAATAGGTATGTTGTTATTTTCCAGAATAATAATGCTCCACTGTATCCATTAGTCCCCTGAAGTATTATACTTTTAGTGAGTAAACAAGCAGGTTTATTGTTAATACAGTATGATTCTTATACAAGGACCACGTCGTAGGTTTGAAGTTTTGTCGAGAGCAGCGAGGTGGCGTCTTTTAGTATTTTAGTATTGTTTGAAATAAAAGAAATTGGTGAAATGGTACCTAAAGACACTGGTTGTTGAACTTTGCTTTACATGGGCATCATTATTCTTCATCACCATATTGGGTTTCGATGCTTTTTCATTAGACTAACAGCATATTATAAATCAAACAAGAATGGAAAGCTAAATATGTGTAGTTTATTTTAAATTATATACATAATGATTAAAACTAACAAAGATGTACTTATCCTCAGTTGAAATTTCCAAAATTTTCTTAGAGATTGTCTCAAAAACAACATGCAAATGAAAGAAACTCTGCTTCCAATGATGACCACCACATGACTATAGGCACCACAATTCTACCTGACCACAACAATCACACATTCACAATTCCATTCTGTTTCAAGATACCTAAGTGAGCAGGATTTCCCAACTTTCCGCTAAATGCTGAAAATTGTACGTGACGTACATCTTTTGGCATTTGACTAAACTTGAACCTATGCACTGTGTGCAATAAAGTAACAAGGATATTAGGCTTATTATGATTTCCATTAGGATAAACATTAAATGCGAATAAATATCTTCAAAATATTAGTTCTATAGACTTAACTGTTATTAGACACTGCCATATTTAAACATGATGCATTAGCATGAATCATTTATAGAAACTGGTGATTCAAGCAAAATCAACCCCTTCTAGTGGCAAAAATGCTAATTATTGTAAATGCAAGTAACCTTAACTTTGTAAGTGATTAAGTTTGGTTTAATGGTATGCATGTGGACTATTATGGAAAATGATCCCCACCTAGGTGCTAGACATGCCAGTAAACTTGGATGACTTCACCTAGCAGCGGCATGCTGTGACATTTGATAATAGGGAAGCTGTGTTTCTGTAAGAAGCCAACATCCAGGGGCAATCAGTCAATTGCGCGTCAGTAATGGTCTAGGGTCCATTCGTATCATTTATTCGATAAGCCAGTAAAAACCGTAGACTTCTCTAAATGTATTTTTAATATCACAATTACATTCCGAATCGCTAGCCACAATATAAGGGCTACAATTAAAAATAAAATAACAACAACTTACTCACTGAAATAAAATGTGTGGTGCATGTACCGGTACATACCTGGTACAAAATATTCTTCAATTGTACGAATATACTTTTAAAGAAAATTATAATTAAATATAGCTCTGTAAAGAAAAGTGCATAAAAATACAAAATATTCTTTACTTTTTAAATCTTAAAACAATGCACTTAGTCAAATAGCTCCCTATGAGTGGCTAATAGAGGGAATCGAAGACGGTTGCAGAGCGTGCAAACACGCAGACTGCCAAATCCCCAGGGTGCCGATACCGGTCAATGTCAAATACCTCTTTTGTCGCATCACTAGTATATCTCAAAGGACGCGACAGGGCTGTTGTAGATTTTAAACGTTTCTCACCATAGCCATAAAAATCTAAATACAGTAGAGCGTCGTTTATTTGAATCAATTGGAGACTGGGGTTGTTCGGATAACTTATTTTTTGGATAACCGATTACATACGAAAAAATATATTAACCTATCCCATGTTGAAATTTTTTTCCATTGCGTGTCGCTTTGCGTTGAATTTTCGTCGATGTTAAGCTTAACATAAACTTTTTAAAATAATAATCGTGGCTATTGTATCGTTAAAAATTATTTTTTTATTTTTTACAAACAAAATAAATATATTGAAAAATATAAAAACAAACAAAATTTATACTTCCGAAGTTAATCTAGTATCAAAAACGTTTGATTCAGCA